CCGCGCTGCTCCTGCCAGCTCGCCGGTGCTGCTCCGCGGTGGCTACACCGAACACTAACCTGCAGCAGCAGCTCAGAGCAGACCGACCCCCTTCCATACAGTGATGATCATGAAAAAAACATAAATGAACGGGGAAAACAAAAAGATTCTAAAGAAGAGCCACGAAGCTCTTACCATTCCATTTCGTTCTGTTTACCTCCTCCTCGCACTCAGCCATGCACCCACTGGCCCTGTGGGGCACTAATCCCAATCCCTCCCGAGATCCTTCACTGCTACGAGCAACTCATCCCAACATACCCCATAGCCAGAGGCAAAAGCCAAACTCCTCCGGCATCACAGCAACTGGGCTCAGCACCACGGCCTGCAATAAACCCGCTGCCCTGGGTCCAGCCACCCCTCCCTGCGACACCCCAGGCATGGGAGACAGCGGCAACCTCTTCCAGACGCTCCGAGACCTGCTCGGGAACGTGCAGCTCCTCAAGCAAACGCACTCACCGTTGTTTTTATCCGAGCGCTGCGGGTGGCTGTTGATAGGGTTGGGCTCGCCGTGGGTAGCCCAACGGGTATGGGCAATTCCAAGATGTACGTCAAACTCGATGTCGAGGTCCATGTCCTGTTGCTCTGCAGCAGAAGCAGGAGAAGTTTTTAGGACTGAGGGGCTGTCCCTACCCCAAAGTCAACACGGAGTCTCACCAGCTCTCCGGGGTCTACAGTACAGCACAATACTGACAGGGAAATAGAATCAGTAAAGCCAATAAAACATCAAGCGTGTTTTCAGGGGATACAGAACACGGATGCACACAAGCAATCTCCCTTCCTGCTCACACCACCAAAATAAAAAACTTTTAAGAAAGGACCCAATCTTAATTTCTCTCTCTGGGGTGCACCTTGCCATCCTGTCATGTCCCGTGCACTGTCAGCTGTGACTGAACCAGCCCATTCCATGGTTCCATACCCCTACAGTCGGAATATTCATCACTAACCCTAGTCCCTAGAAAGTACACCATTATCACTAATAGTTATTTTGAAAAAATATTCCTTTTGTTCCACAAGTGTCTCCGCAACCTCTTTAAAACTGTGTCCCCTGCAATGTTCTTGCGCAGGCAAACATTTCTTTAGAAATATTTTGCGTGTCTTCTACTTCTGTAACGCACATACCACCTCACCTGGCCTCTTCAGTTCCTGGTTTTCTCTAGATCTACCCACCTTTTGGGTAAGCAGCACTCTGCACCGCGAGGTTAATGCTAGTATGGGTTAAAAAAAGTTAAATTACAACAACACAGCAGCTCTTGAATGCAAATAAGAGATCCTGACTCCTCTGAAAAGCATCTTCCCATTCTCACACTGCTCACCTGCATTCCACACCCAACAGCTTTGTGTTTCCCCGCGTCCTGCACAGATTTCATGAACTGAACACTTCAATCCAGGGAACATGAAGAGGCAGAACAGAGGCAGAAGACCTCACTCTGCATTCGCATCGATTTGACAGTTACACACACGTTAGTGCTTTCCTGAAAGCCAACTGCTTTGCCATCACGACTCGGATGGACACCTTTAGTTGGGACAAGTGTTACATATGAAAATTTAAAATTCAATCAGTGAAATTATTAGAGCATATCTCATTTTTGCCCAAGCTCTAGGTCTCTAATAATTATCTCCCAGTAATTCCCCTTTCCTCAGTTCACAGCGGTTTTTATTTGGGGGTGTGTGGGTGTGGGTGTTTTCTAAAGTATATTTCAGGTCTATTTTATTTTAATAGGATGTGATTCATTTGTCTTGAAAAATCAGGACTTCTCCGTGACTTCATGACAACATCCACGAGATCACTGGGTTCTTCCCAGCACACGTGTGAGTGTTTACATCTCTTTATACACAGTTACTTGGAAATACAGTGTTTCTGGGTAAAACAAGTGATATTCAAAACACGAATGAGGTGAGAGGACATTCCAAGGAAAGAAAACAGGCAAAGAACGAAAGGGAAATACATACTGTAAACTTCTTCGCCCAGAGCCTTCACTTTCCCCGTCTGTTTGATAATCTGGATTTTGCAAGCATTAGCTTCCCAGTCCTTGTCGTTTCCGCCATCGACTCCCACACCTAAGCTCCACCATGGAATATGAAGAAAGAGTATGAAGTGCAGGAAGGATATTACAGTATTTTATGTAAACAAATAATGTCTTTTTTTTTTTTTTTTTTTTTTTACAATGCCCTTTCTCCCTGCAGCTGACCCTCCAAATAAAGGCAAGAAACACCTTAGGTCAGAAGTGAGTTTTCTCCCGTTTGTCATCTTGTAGGTATTTTTAAAGCCTTAGATAACAGGCACCAAGAACATTTATAGAAGCCTATATACTGAAAGTTAATATAAACCTCTGACCACGTGATCACAGGCACATAAAATTTCCATCTCAGCTTTCTTCAGAAGCAGAAGATGGTAGTCACAAATACACCATGAAAATCATCATATACGAGTCAAAATTCAGAAGAGAACTGCTGTTGCTCAGAGAGAACTACCTGCAGAATCATAGCCTCTGTACTCCAGCCGCTGGAGCCCTTTGATAAGGGTGTCCAGGATTTCCCGTCTTGTCCGGGGAACATGGTAGTTCAGGTAAGCAAAGATGCCTGGATGGGAGAAAAGAGCATAATACTATGAAAAAATCACAGCTGAGGAAACTCTGCATTGGCATCTCCTTAGTACGCGCACCAAGTTAAAACTCAAACAGGCCTTTGCACTGAGAACCCCCTCCAGGAAGGTACCACCGCATTTGCATGTTTTCCTTACCCCACCTGAGGTCCAACAGAGAAGATGTCAGTAACATTTAAGAGATCAAAACTAACCACAGAACGCCAGCATCCTCCTCACGACATTGAAAGTAACCAAGCAGGACAAGCCTGGGCGTGATGGGAGAACGAATTTCCATGTGAGCTGGACTGACGTGACAGAACGAGCCGCCAGGAGACAACGCAAGGGACAAGAAACTAATCACTCCAGATGAAAAATTCAAGGTTAACTAACGGTGAGCTTTGCGTGCCAAAGAACCATCTTCAAAAGGAATTCTTCCTTGAATAGCTTTCTCCAAGATCCTCCCACAGACTCATTAAGAAAAAAATGAGTTAACTCACGCAAACTAACACCCTCAAACCAATGGAGCTATTTTTCCTGTAGGTTGTAAAGGAAGATAAATCATCACTTCTATTTTTAAGCAGAAATTCCTCAATCTCTAATGTTAACCATGGCTCTATTTCAGAAAGATGTCCTTCGGTGTCATCATGAAGCAGCAGCAAGAGAAGATATTTACTGGATGCTACAAACATCTGTACTTGAAATCCACCATTTCGCTCTAACGTTTTAAAGGAGAAAAATATCTGCATGGAATAAAAGCACAACAGGTTTCATGCAAACACCCTTATATGTAAGCAACTGATAATTCAAGGTTTGTAATTTGAGAAACTTTATCAAAACCTCTTGAAGAGAACAGAGTTCAGTCGCACACACACAAAAACAAAGCCCTTTTACAGGCATCCCAAATCTTTCCTTTTTTTCCTGATAGCACTGCCATACAGCCTGCCTCACAGTGCCCACACTTCTATTCATGTGAAAAATTTTACTCCCAAGATGATTTTTGGAACATATATCTTCATGATTACATGCAGATTATTTTAAAGAACATTTGAAAAACCTAAGAATGCTTAAGCTGGTTTTGTTTGGGAATTAAATAATTCAAAGCTTTTTGATGTTTTAATTTATTTTCTAAGTAGAAATACAGGCTACTCAGTTGATGGATGTGCTGAATACCACATAGCAAAGTGCTGAAACATTTACAAGGGACTTTTCAGCCTGAGCAGTGACAACAAGGTGGAATGCAGCCGTGTATCATTCTGACACTTTCCCATTCCTTCTCCCCTTTCCATGGTCTTTGGCTACAGGTCTCAGGACGAGTTTGTCACAAGCTTCATCCTCTCATTCCCAAAGTACCAGCACTGGAAATTACATCTCCCTGCAGTTCTGCTACAAAAAGAGCACACCGTGTCTCTCTCATTCTCTTCCACATTGCTAGAAAAAAATTAGATGTACTTTATTGTTCCTCTTTCTTAAACCACCTAGTCAGATGAAAGGGGGAAAAAAAAAAAAAAAAAGAGAAAAACAAGCTTAGCACTTGGTTTCTTTTGCTCCTACCTTCATTTCCCCAAAACTCAAAGCCTTTTATAACAACCACTTGTATCAGGACCAAGTTTATAAAAACTTGCAGTTTCACTCCCACTGCTCCTGACATCCCAAACCAACCAGGCACACAGCCCTGCTGCTGTCATCTCCTATGGCATGTGTCCAACTTGAACACTGGTTCCAGTAACTACACGGACAAGGTGAGGTTCTCCTCCACAAACCTCGCAATTCACAGCTGAAACCTCAGCAGATAATAAAGCACTAACAGCAGTTAACAACCTCTGCTGTATTTTAAAAGCTCCCTCTGAAGGACACTTCCCCCACGCTCGCAATCTCCAAACCCTCCTCCCCACCCTTCTGGAAAAAAAAAAAAAAAAAAAATTTTTCCATTTTGGAATCTTTGTTTTGTTCGGTTTTTTTTATTCCTCGGGCAGACAGCAGCCTCCCGGTTTTTACAAGCGAACCGACTCCAAAGAGCTGCCATCCAGGCTGAAGGACGGCACATTTCAGCTACATCCTGGGTGCCTAAAATCCTTTAACTGACTTCCAGGTCTCACAACAGGAGCACAAAGCTTTGTTAGCGGGCAGCTGGAAAAGTCCCTCTCTCCGTATTTACCGGAAACCTCCCAAACAGGTGCCCAATGCAGCGGCGGTGTTACACACAAAAATAACCAGTGTGCCCCACAAAGCAGGGAAAATAAGCACAGGAGATGTCTCTAAAAAGACATGCTGGGTTCCAGCAGTTCCTGACATTTCCCCTTACGCCAAAGCCACCTACTGTGGCACCAAAGTAAAGCTACTTCAGCACGAGTAATTACAGAATCACGAACCCTGCTTACGTTTTTCCAAATTAGCTAAATAATTCCAGAGTTGAAACCTCTCTTTGTGTGTTACGCACCTTGGAAGTGCACACAAAGGGTCCCAGTTCCCACCCAGATCCTGAAGCCTTATGCCTTTTTCCACGGTGCCGGCATTAGCCGGGCCCATCAAACAGCTCTCCAGAAGCACCCACAACCTCTGCATCCCCCCCGCTGGCATTTCAGCTGTCCCACTCTGGAATAACCAGTCCTGCTCGGGCACACGGCTACCCACTAAGGTACCACTATCACGGCACACCACCAGAGGCCACTCCAGTGGGATATGCTCTTTGAGCAAATGGAGACCGATGATGACGAGCGCTAAGGCACTCTGGAGTCTGAACGTCAGGCTGGCCACAGCAAGACAGCACCTGGAAGTCCTTCCCAGTGAGCAGCAGCAGTGTGAGGCACAAGAGCCGCATTGACGGGAGCACAGCGGAGGCCTTCTTCACTCCAGGGCGCCCTGCTGAGCGACTAGGGGGCAAGAATGGAAGAGGTCATCAAGCTGGCGTGCAGGGGGTGAAACAGAACTGCTGCGAGGTCTGGGGAAGGGACGGCGTGCGAAAGGTGCGTGGACGGGAGTATGCCAGGAAGGGAGGAGAAAAGAGGGCTGTAGGAAAGGTGGAAGGGAAGTGGTGCAGAACAGGACAGTGAGCTTAGTGCAGGGGGTCTGCTCTGCCACCTTGGCTGCCCACCAGCACCTTCAGGCCTCTGCAAACAGCAGCATGCCAGGGGCGTGGGAAGGCAGCCCTGCTCTGTGCCCGAGGGACACAGCCATCGCCCCGTGACGCCACCAGGCACGCAGCTACAAACCCAGCTCGATCCAGGCCGTGACGCTGCATTTTAAAGGAGGGTGTTTTCCCCTGAAGCAGACCTGGGTGCCCAGCGCAGCCATCGCAGCGAGCACAGAGCGTGTGTCCCTTCCTGAACACCCCACCAGCACACCTGTAATGGACACAGGTGCCCCAGCAGAGCAGGCGGACACCGAGGAGACACCACGGTGCCTCGCTCAAAGTCCCAGAGGAGATCACTTTGCACAGCACTTTCCACACAGATCCCAGCAAGGCCATTATTTTGAGTCCACCATGTGAAAAAAAAGGTCTAACTCAATAGATGGGCACAATTATTAGGCAGAAACTCAGCTTCCTGTCATAAAATTCTTTCACAAATGTGAATTGATTGTTTTAGTCTCCATCCTGCTCCTGGCACAAGGATTACAACTGATTCTGAACAAAAAAAACGGCTTAAAACCAGAACTGTTTCCCTCTAACCAGGGCTGACTTTGGACATCTTTGTTAAATCTGAATCTAAACCAGACAGTGGCTGGAAATATTATTTTCTCTGCACATTTTAACAAGTTCAGTCACACCTGAACTGAAAAAAAAACCCAAACCAACAAACCAAAACTGGATTCCTTGTCACAGATCACAACCGCTAGCAGCATACAACAAAATGCCATGTGCTGAATGGGCACGAAGTAGAAACCGACTTCCTCCAGGAAGGGATGGCCCGTCTGGAATGAGACTGAAAACCAGCAGTGTTTATTTTTATTTGTACTGTAAACAAACAGAAAACTTCCATCTAGAACGGAGCCAACTTGGCATTTGTCTCCGGCATTGAAAAATATCTATTAATTACTGTACAATTATACTAAGATTATTCACGAGGACTGCAGAAAACATCTGAATCTAAGACTAAGAATGCCACAAAACCCCCCCGAAAAACCCTAAGGAATTCAGTGCTTTTTATCAGAAAACACAGAGACTGGGGAAAGCAAGTCAACTAAAAGAAATGCAAATATAGTATTAACGCTGCGAAATATGCAGACACTCTCTTCAAAAAAGATGAGCGTGTAAACACTGGGAGACTCGGTTTTGATTCAGTTCAGCTTTTAGATCTTGGCAGGAAAATAGCTGGAGTGATACTGGAGACACCACTATGAAAACACAATTCTAAGAGCTGTCATCGACACCTTTTACAAATGAGAAGGCAAATAAGACAAGCAGGTTTAAAACTCACCTTAGAGAAAGTAGAAAAAAGATAAAACACGTAGAATAATATGTAAAAATGACACATAATTACAGTAAAAAAAAAGGGACAATAACGCGGGTGGAAAGGAGCACGAGCCTTGTGAAATGCATGATTTACTAACCTGCAAGCTAAAAATCAAATATTGGAAGGCTTATCACCCCTGTATGACATCTGATCATGATGAACTATGTATAAATAGCAGTTTCACTTACTGGAAATATTTTCAAATGCATTTAATTTTCTCCTTTCCAAACGTCCCATAATGATGGGGTTCTTCATAGCCAGAGAAAGTTTCAGCCCACATTTAGAAAACAGCACTTTTACCAGCTTTACCCTCGCTATTGGATTATTCAGGAATATATCAGTAATCACAGCTGTAATCACTTCCATCTTTAAGCACAATTCCACTGCCCTCGACATAAAACTGACGAGGAAAAAAAGACCCACAGCATTAAACGCTTGTTATGCTTGGCTGATTTAAGCATATTTTTGAAAAACGTTTATTTCTCCTACAAGCCATCAACAGGGGCTCTGCAGACACCATTTTGCTCCAGTTACACCTCGAACCT